TCGGCCCGCGGGCCGTAGTTTGGTGAACCTCTGTTCTAGAATATCAAGACGTGTTACTAGGGTCACGTGACTTCCGCTGTCGTAACCTCTTGAAATAAACTGGTTAAAGTCTATTTTTATTTTGTATTTATGCCAAAGCTACTAAAGCTATCTGCTGCAGTCCCTAATTTTTAATCACTAACCAGATGAAAGTAAGCAACACCTTACCACCAACCATTCACAATATGAGAATGACCGTCACTTTTATAACACACTCACAACTTAAAGTAAGGAAAATATTTTGAGGTATCGCAAGGATTCGAACCCAGTTCCAAAACACAGAGCTTTACTACAGGGCCAACCCGTACCCGAAACGGTTAAAAATCCTAAACAGTGAATTGCATACAAACATTTAATTCTATATACATGTTAAAATGTCATAGTTACGGGGATCTTTTTGGAGAGGATAATGCAATAAATCTTATATCGCTATTATTTTTCTTTATATATATATAAAAACCTAATTAAAATATTTAGCTTTGCAAATGAAAACTTAGCTTAGAAAGAACTGTGACTGTGTGTAATACAAAACACAGACTTTCTGCATATTCAACCGACTTTAGGACATCAGCGCGCGTGTCAATACCCTCACGTGCAATCTTGTTTGTTGCTTCAACAATTTTCTAAATCGTGACGTAGAATGAGCTTATGAATAATTTACGTTTCTCATCATATGTAGAATTCATTATAACATACGGAAGTGTTTCAAACACACTAAATCGTAACATGTTTACCATCTCTTGCTTCTATCTTGATATACAGTTACTGTACTATTGACACGAATAAAGGTTTCTTGCTGTTTTTTTTGTTGTTTCTTTCTTTCTTTCTTTTGCATAATTAATTGTTTAGAAACTATAAGTGGTTTCCAAGGCCGAAAAGGTTCCTGTTTGGCAATAATTTTTCGAAAATAAATAAATTCAGAAAGGGATCGTGCGGATTATGGTACTTTATGTAAACAAATTGTTCAGATAGTTCCCTTCATACTTGATTAGTATATAAAACTAAGATTTTTATTAACCTCACCAAAGTACTAGGCTATACTGTGTTTAACTTGACAAATAATTATTACATGACCAGTTTATATTTTGACCTGAACGGCGCCTTATGCTACACGTAGGCTAATCGACCATATTAGAGATCCCAGGTTAAGAGATAGCAGTGACTAATTTCGAACTGCTGAAGAGGAGAAAGGACCAACTACTCAGCATTAACTGCAACTTACACTTTTACTCCTAAAGAAATAGCGAGATTGACCCTCACGGTTATAAAGTCCTCAAAGCTGAAAGTGCAGTATGTTAAGCGACAGTATGGTGGCTCCAACCTTCCAATACATATTCTATAACGGATATTATATATTTGGTGATTGCTTCTTCACAAATAAATCTCTTCGAGAGGATGACTTTTGTGAGGCTTGGTAATGCTGGTTACATCTTAATGGTAATCTTTGTCATTAACTGGCACACTATTTTACTCTTAAAAAGATATACGCTTATTAAGGGTCGCGTCATTTTAACTTTTCAGAAGATACAAGATATTAAGTATCATGTCGTTTTAACTCTCCAGAAGATCAAACTTTATTAAGTATCACATCATTTTAACTCTTCAAAAAATTAAACCTTCTTAAACTGGTACACCATTTTACTCCTATGAAGATAAAAGTCATTAAGTATCACATCATTTTAACAAATTAGAAGAGCAAACCTTATTAAGTATCACATCCTTTTAACCCTTCAAAAGATACAGGTTATTGAGTATCACATCATTTTAACTCTTCAAAAGATCAAACCCCATTTTAAGTTTTCAGGCTAAAGATCAAAACCAAACTTAATGACGTTCTCAATTGACATCCAAGAACAATCCTACTTAAACTTCAAGTATTTAAGCATTTCGAGCATTTCAAGGTAGAAGAATTTCTACTCCGATTAGTTTTG